AAAAAATGTTCCGGACAAAGTTTTTGGTAGACCTTGCAAAGCTCGTTTTTTGAAAACTACAGGGTCTTTCAGTTAGAATGGTTTTTTTGAAACGTCTATAACTTTTTAATGGAACATTGGATTTAACTGATTCTTTTTACTTTTATTATATAACAGATTAAAATTTTTGAACACGTACATAAGAGTTATAATAACTGCTGGAAATGTCCGCCATTTTCTTGAATACAAAGATGTAACCGCTTCTCAAAATTTGTTGCTGCTTTCACTTCCTGCGCCGGAGTTATTGTTCCACAAGCGTTCTCCACAGTTTGCATAAAATTTGGGACTGTCTGGGGGTTAAATATCATTTTACCCAAATGACCCCATAGCCAAAAATTCAATGATTCAAGCCTGGGCTTTGGGGTGGCCAAGGAATCGCACTCCTCCTGCTTATAATCCTCGCGCCAAATTTTAAGTGGAGCCACGTGACGATTTTTTCTGTGCAGTGGCACGTTGCACCATCCTGCATAAACCACAGGCGCCGAAGATCGCGGCGTTGTCAGAAGAATTGGCCAGAGTTTAGACTGCAACATGCCAAAGCCCGGACTTGAATCCATTGGATTTCTGGCTATGGGGTCATTTGGGTAAAATGATATTTTGATGCCAACACCCAGACAGTCCCAAATCTTATGCAAACTGTGGAGAACGCTTGTGGAACAATAACTCCGGTGCAGGGAGTGAAAGCAGCAACAAATTTTGAGAAGCGGTTACATCTTTGTATTCAAGAAAATGGCGGAAATTTCCAGCAGTTATTATAACTCTTATGTACGTGTTCAAAAATCTTATTCTGTTATATAATAAATGTAAAAAGAATCAGTTAAATCCAATGTTCCATTTAAAAGTTATAGACCGTTTCAAAAAACCATTCTAACTGAAAGACCCTGTAGTTCTGATTTTCAAAACCGCAGATTAATCTATGCTTTTCCATTCTTTTGCATGGAAGTTATAATCTGGATGGTGAAGATGGTGAACCTTTTTTGTTTTTTGCTTGTGGGGACATGGGCTTGGGAGTGAGACCCGAACTGAGGGATAGACTGTCCCCCTCTCCATTTGGACCAATCAGTCGTCTCTCAGAAGCTCCAGCTGCTCCCCCGAGCGAGTTCTTCTTCTCACCACCTGAATTAAAAACGAACGATTAAACAAAACACAGTTGAGATACATCGGAAAACTGGAAATGCACGCAGAGAATTGAGTCATGATCAAAGAAAAATATAGCCAATCAAGGTCCGCAAGAGGCATGGTTGCGCACAATTGTAGTGTTTGTATAAAAGAATTAACGTAATTAACTTTAATGAGCAAAAATTGTGCTAAATAACGTCGAAAAAACTGCATACACAAGAAAAAAACATCAGAAGAAAAACTTGGAAATTTGGAAAGTATTAGAAACTCACAAAATTGAATGAAACGTACACCGTTTAAGAAGAGATTGTGAAATTACAAAAAAAATGGTAATAGATTTTTTAGGTCGACTAAATTGATTTTCCGAGCGCTCGCAGAACAAACACTATAAAGACCATATTTTGACAAAAGATTTGACAAGGTTTTGATCAAAATATTGCGCTTTATGGCACGCGCTCCCCTCGATATTTCAATATATTTGCTTTACAGGCGCCTTAAGAAAAATTTTATGGTTGGTCGGTCAAAAATGGATGTCATAAAAATGTAACAAAAGGAGTACGCTTAGGGTGGTGAGAGGATCGAATCCCTGAGGGGGGTGGGCATCCGAACCCTCGACGCCCTGCATCACCCCCTGGTTTTGATATTTATCTGCACTTAGCAGTAGACACTCTCGGTTCGAGGCCACGATTCTTTGCTCTGACCAAAAAAACATCATTTATGACCGTAACTGTGAAAATTTGAATTCAGACCGTAGAACCAGAAAGTAGATCCGTAGACCCCAGACTGCGGGAGTTACAAACATCTGGTCAGACTGGGGGATTATAAAAAACCGTGCAGACCATAAGCACCAAACACATATATTCAGATTGACACATCAGGGGGACTGAAAATATGTGTTCAGATTGAGGGGACAAAAAGTATTTTTTGAGACGCGGTGACGAAAGCAGTCCTTCAAACAGTAAAAATCAAAATCATCTATTCAGATCACTGGAACTAAAAAGTATCTGTTTAGACGGCAGTGAGTATTAAAAATGTATGTTCCGACTACAGGGACGAAAACATTTGTTCAGAGACAAAGAACTAAAAATGACGGTTCAGACCGTAAGAATCAAAAGTAATCCTATAGACCCCGAAGAATAAAACATGTCTGTTTAGACTATAGGGATTAAAATTGTCTGTTCATACCGTGCCAATCAAAATAATTGTTCAATCCAGGGGCGGGTCTAAGATAAATTTTGGGAAAAAAAACAGGTCAAAAAAGTCAATTTTAGGCACTTTTTGGAAAATTTTGCCGTTTTTTGGCGCGCGCTCCCCATATTTATTATATATTGACGCCAAAGGCGCCTGCACTGTAGAATTATTTTAGGATCGGACGGCCAAAAATGGATTTCTTAAAATGTACCAAAGGGGGACCCTTTGGGTCGGCAGGGGGTCTAATGCTCCAGCCACGCCATACACCCCAAATCCACCCCTGGTTCAGTCAGTTGCACTTCTCTTTTTTAAAGACAGTTGTCCAAAAGAGGAGCGCAAAATCACAAATACTAAAAAATGCTTTTTTTGCCAAATATGGACAAAAATTAATATTGACAAAATCAAACCCTTTTCTTGAAGAATTTATGTATAGGGATATAGTAAAGTACCGAAGCCTATTAAAGAAAAGTTTTCAAATTTTCGCGAACCTTCATTTAAAAAATATTTTTTCAGTTATACGCCTTGAAAACAAATAATGAGTGAGAACAGAAAAAAATAACCGTAACAATACAATCAGTCTTAAGCTCATTCCGAAGTTTGACAATGACATAACTAAAATCCAAGTTTTTATAAATGATTGAGTTTTTTCCTCTAATGAATTGAGGCAAATAGCCAGTCATTTTTAAAAATTGATTGTAAAAGTTTCGTTGAGCAAGAAAAAAATTACTTAAAGCCAAAAAAATCATGCTTTAAAAGTTCCAACATGCAGTTAAAATACAATTTTAAAACTTAAATCAAGTCAGAAAAACTTCCGACTGAACTTTGAGGCCAACGGAGCAATCATCTCTCTCCACATAATCTTACTTTGTCTCAGATAGCTTAATGAGTACTTAACGCATCTAGTTTAAAAATTTGCTTAATTGCTTTAAAAGTTTCGGCAGATTCTTTGCAGAATGTGCAACAACAAAATATAATTTTACCAAAATTAGAAAATAGGTTCAACACAGAGGCCAAGCGGAGCTTTACACCACTTGCGATAGAACACACTCATGGGTCGAAAAGCATGAGTCGAAAAACAACTAAAAAACGTTGAAAAAAACTAGATAAACCGAAATTTTTGTATGCCTCAATGAAGGACACCTAGGGTCCAGCTAAAGCTTGAGGTTCGTGTTTGATATTTTTGACCTCGTTTTACTGATGCGCGATGAAATGCTGATTTAAAAAACTGGACATTGCCCAAAATTTTAGTTGTTTCTCTGCTAAAAATAAGCAGGAAGAATGAAAAATTTCGAGATTTTTCTAGTTTTCCTGAAGTAAACACCTTTCTCTTCCAAAAAATAGTAAGTTATTTTTTTTCTGCATAAAACACTTGCGCCAAATCTTCTCTCAGCTGAAATTATCATCTCGGATTTTTTCAGAAAATTCAGTATCTTCAGGGTATTTTTTTAATAAATGGTCAAATTTCAAAAATTCAGGCTAGCTTTTTAAAAAACTGTCAAATTAAAAAAATTGACATTTCAATATTGGAAACTTTTTTCAGCTAAAAATAGGTCGCGGCCGTTAATACAGAGAAGGTTCCAAAAATTTGGTTTCTCATTTGAACACTTAACCTGAGAAATGGCACGGAAATTTTCGATTAAAAGCAAAAAATTCCAAAAAACGGTCAAAGTTTCAAAACTATCACTTGTTTGAAGACGGCCAAAATTTCTTTCTTAAACACTGGGCGTAGCAAACTATTATTGTATGCTTCTACCTATTATATTATGTATGCGATTAAACCTATTATAGTCCAAATAACGGTCATTAAATCAGAAAGTTGACATTTCTGGGAATCATAGCTTTTGGTTTAAAAAATTGGGCGTAGCCACCTATGCGGGAAAAATTAATCCAAGCTGAAAATTTGATTGAAACCAAAAACCAATTTTGGTAGTGCATTTCTTGAAAAAATATATCAAAAATGGTCGAAACATTCTGACTTTTCCGAGAGCCATAATTTTTTTGTGTCAAAAAAATTTGGGCGTAGTCGCTTGAGTAAAGGAGTTTCCCACAACCCGTTTGTTGTATTGAACGCAAATCTCAGATATGGTAGGGTATATTTTAATAAAATTCATGGAAATTAGAAAAAAAGCTTAAAAAAAACTTTTAAAAAATTGACTTTTTCGAGGACGGAACTTTTGTGTAAAAAAATTGTGAGTTGCAGTTAATGCGAGGAGCTTCCCGCCTAACTAGAACCCAGTAACTCTAACCCAGTAACTTCATTGAACACAGAACCAGAGGTTTGGGATGTTATTTACCGAGAAAAATAAAGAAGATTCAAAAACGTACGGAAAAATCAAAATTTGTCATCTCCGAGGGCCATTATTTTATGTGTTAAAATTAATTGGGTAGAGTCGCTTCTGAAGAGGAACTTTTCAAATCCGTTCTATTTATTAAACCAAAAAACTCAGATTTCGTAGATTGGTTTTTGGGAAAACGAAAAAATCAAAAGTATTGGTCATTTACTCCCCCGACAGACTTTTTCGAAGGCTGTAGACAAAGGGGCAAAAGCAAAAAGATAGCAGTGGAGTGCGCAGGCACACAAAAATGAAGGTGGTCTTTCTATGGATACCCCTATTTTGAAAATAGATAGAAGGGTTCTTGAGAAAAAAACTAAGTTTTTCGCTAAGTAAGCTAGTTTCAACGCGAAAAAAAAATCTATATCCCGGTTTGATAACGCTTGCTAATCGCAAGCATAAAGAGAAGAGAATTAGCACCAAAAAAATCCTGCTAAGCGGAATATATTTTTTTGTTTAATAAAAAATCAGAAGTTACTTATTTTTATCAGGAATATGCTTGCATGGAGCATATTAAATAATTTAACAAAAGCCGCAATTGACTAGCCAGTTTTTAGGCTCGGAGTTTGAGCGAGTTTTTAATTTGTCTTTTAAAAAGTGTTCTCCCTGCAACTCTCTAATTAAATTTAAAAAATTTTGTTGCAGTTACATAGCAAATACCTAATTGCTATTGTTGACTATTTCGATCATCATTCGATTCTCTTTAAAATTTTCTCTTAGATTGGTAGAAGTAAGCTTTATTCATGCTAACTCTCTGAAATTTTGGCGAATGTTGTTAGACCATTAAAATTAGAAATTTTTGTTTTTTGATTTTAAAAAAAGATGCTTTGAATACTTGCTGATCTATATCCTTCAAATCTTACTTAATATTACTTAAACTGCCTCGTGGAATACATTTTAAAAAGAAAAGAAACATTGAAAAAGAAACATTCTTATGACTCGAATTTAAATGCATTGGTTTTTGAAATCTCCGTTACTATGTTTTCAAAAAGGAAAAATTGCCAAATTTTTTTAACAAAAAAAAACACCGTACTGTTTGCTTTTCTCAGGTCTGTTTTAGTGCCCATGTGCATTAATTAAAAAAACTGAGCCCACAAATGCAATTTGTTGGTCTTAGCTTTCAAAAAGAGCACTCCAAACGGCATTACTTAAAAATTTGGCGATGGCAGAAAGAATCTAAGCAAAACAGGTTCCTTATACTGTGGAAAAACTTGAAAAACTCATTTAGTTGACCTGCAATTTCCGCATCTGATTTCCAGGAAAATCTATCGTAAGCTTTTGGGCCCAAACTTTAATTGTAATTCAACCAAATGGATTTGCCGACCTCTCTTAAAGCAGTCTAAGGGTTCTGTTTTCTGTTTTGCTCAAACTCTGCTCCGTACCCGAAGTTTTTTTTAATAAAAAGATTGGCAAAAAACGCCTTTGTAGAAACAAACTTTTGACCAGAACCCAAGTTTTTTTCGGCGCAAGCTATTTCCTCAAAATTACTGTATTTTGGCACCAAATGCGCCCTAAGAATAACTAACAGGTAAACTAATTTTGTTTTTTACAAAAAATCTCAAAACTATATGTATGAAGTAATTTCAGTCGGACAAGCGATTCAATCAACCAAGTACTTATGTTTAATGACGCATTTTAAAATTTTGAATATTTCGCTTGGAGAACTTCCTGCCTTGTGCCTTGCGGCCCGATCTGAGGTGCTCGCCTTCGATTCGACTGAAACGGCCGAAAGATGTCCACTTTCAATTTATTGAGTCTAACGATGAAAAAATCATAATAATAACGTGGTTCCTGCGAATCGCAGAGGAGCTAACAGTAATCCTTAACAGGCCTGTCGAAGGATAGTCAATTTGCATTATCTCCTCACAGACTGTTTTATTTTATTGAGCGCAAATCTTTTTTTGCGACTCAAGGTCGTTTTTTTGCGTCTAGAATTTTCACATGGTACCGCTAATGCAGCCGGAATTGGTCAGGCTCTGGTAGAACTGAAGCTAGAGGTCAAGTGAGAGCTTGTCCTCACACACTATCACTGCCATGGAATGAGATCGAATACATGATCTGACAATTTCAAAATGAACGCCTAACCACTCTGCTAAGTGCCTCTAATGATGATGAAAACCCCTGGTGATGATGATGTGGGTCAAAGTTTCACAGATAATCTTGTGTTTGTATATCAAAGTCTTCTTTTTCAATCTCTCACCTCCTCTCGCTTTCAAAATTTAGATTTTATTTTTTTTCTCATTTCAATGAAAACGTATGGTCATAAAAATCAGCTCATGTCAAAAAATGCCCATTAGTCTATGCTATTCACGCTTTTTTATACATTTTTTAAATATATTTTTTTACGCTTCTTAAAACTATCTGGCTGCGTGTTGGGTTATGGGAATGAATCGAAGGATCTTTTTATTTATCCCCCCTTTTGCGAAGGGGTGGTCGATACTAGGTACATAGTTCACATAAGCTTAACTGTTAAATTAGTTCATTATAGGGGTGAAAATTCGTTACTAGGTACCAAAGGGGCGGAATAGTTAAAGAGATCCTAATCAAAAAGCAGTCGATTACCTCTCTTAGCTTCAATATTGCGTTGTTCGACCAGGTTAGTGGTGCAATAAGTTCGCTTAGCAAACGACTTATCGGCACTGATGGTCGACAACGACTGACTCCTACTGTTTCGGTAAGTAAGAGGACTCATCATGCTTTCTAAGTGCTTTAGGGGTCTAAACCGATCTGAAAAAAAATAATGATGCTCACACAGTTTGATCATAGAAGATCATAGTAGACCATTCAGTAAGTCATACATCATGGAAGACCTTTAGTTTCATCATGGTAGCCATACAATTCTCATATATGATAGAAAACTAATCATATTTTTTCAGGTAATTTAGAACTGTATGAAATGTAAGGGTCATAGTATGAGCATTGTATGACTAGCAATTTTAGTCACCGCGTGAAAGTGGGAAGGGTTGCATTTTAGAAAATGTAATTTTAGCTTCACTTTCATATCGGAAAAATCATTAATCAGGACTAATCGTTTTCAAGGTAAGATCATTTTGGTGTTTTTTTTCAGAATTTAATGGGCCCAATTTCTAAATTAAATTAATACTCGCAGTTAGGTTTCAACTTGAAACGTCGTCTTTTCTGTTTTACGGCTAGAAACTGATTTTTTTTTATTTTGAAAATTTGATCATAATGCTCTAATCTAATTGGTTGAAATTAACAGCAGCAAAAGAAAATATTGATTTCTATTCAAAATAGAAGCTTTATTAACAATTTGGTAATTTTGGACCGTATTGCAGTAAAAAACCCGAAACTTTTTTGATGTGGACTGACCTTCGATTTTGCGCAGGTGCATCTGCTGATATCCTCCAGCTCCCCCCAATCCCATAAGAGGGGGAGGGGCCCCATTGTAGCTCCTCTGCTGGGGTGGGGGTTGTTTGTTCACCACGGGGGCAGGTGTTTCCCCACTTTTGTACGCCAGAGTAAACTAGAGAATATATAAAAAAATTCAAATTCAAACTTTTCGAGGTAGTTGAACTTACAATATGAAAGAAAAACAAAACTAAGAGACTCTAAACAAAACAAAAATTTTAAAATTTTTTTCTAAGCATAGCCTGAAAAACTCATATTGTTCTGATTGTTTTGGACTTCTACAAATCATACATATTATGAAAAAACTTTTGCCCTTTGAAAATCATTTATTTGATTTCAATCGGGACTTTGGCCGAAAAGACAGAAAGGCTTACTTTTCCATTCTTCTGTGCCAAAGCAAATTTTGAGGGTCAATCGAGGTGATTTTGAGGGTGAATTGATGCAGACTTGAATAAAAAAAGCGGAGAAAATTTCAACAAAAAAGAGAAAAAAACCAAAACAAAAACAAAAAGCAAACAGGACTACTCGAATAAAAAAAATATCATTAAATTTTCCGAGAGAGCTTTAAACGTTACAAGTTTTTTGAAAAAATCACAGATCTGACGTCATTTAGCAAAAAATTTAATCTTTTCTGTTTTTTTTGTAAACGTTCACCCCCACACACTGTCAGAAACAAAGTGTACATTTTGCAATTGTTAACGAGTTAAATAAACGGATTGCTTGTCTCAATTGAACTTGAAAATTCTGAAACTGATTATTTTGCCGTTTTTGCGATAATAGAACACGAAGTATATCTCGTTTTGATTCTCCCACTAAAGCAAGTTGACAATTCATAAACCCCAACACAATTAAGAAAACCAATTGCATATTAAAATTTTTTGAATTTGTTAGCTAAAGACAACTCCGTAAAACAATATCTATAAAACACAATATTATGCATGTAATCCAAAATTGCAATTTGCTGTTGAAATCACGCTACGTGGTTTTCCCGTTGCGATTTCAAGTTCTTGTAAAGATTGCTCGCAAGAGCATTACGAGCTGAAATACTGGGCTGTTATTGATTATCCTGAGGCTCATTGCCAATAACGTGTCGTTCAGAGTAATGAACTAATTTTTTGCTGTTTCTTTTAACATATCAACTAACTGCTTTGTTTCTAGACGACTGGGGTTGACCTCATGGATGTGCCTGCGGTCAATCAAAAAACAGATTCTATGCAAATACTTATTGTCATTGGTCATTCAAGAGAGCGGTAGATTTCGTATCACGCGTTTCGTGAAAGCGTCTCCAATTATGAAAAAAAACTTCGCAACTTTATTGCTTATTTAAGTTCTTCTGTTAATAAAATCTGCAAATCAGAATTTTATTGTCTAGATGCTTTGAAAATAATGGTATGGTTTTCTTTTGTTTTAATTTCAAATAACTAAAAAAAATGCCATTTTAGACAGGTTCAAAAACGAATTTCAACTTCCAGAAAATGTCTTTACAATTATGCCATCTCAATATTTTGTCTCATATGGATCGTTGTAATAGATTTAATTATTCACAAATCATCAAACTACTTAATGCAAAACTCTTTAGTATCTGAGTGAATAGGTTTTTTTCAGTTGTTTTTTTTACACTAGTCTCATTTCAGACTGAAAGCAAAACTATTAGCGACGTTGACAGACGCAAAGAAATTTCAAAATTCTGACATAAATAAGAAAACTGTTTTTGATCTAAAAAATGTAATAGAAAAAATTGACTCAGCAAAAACTAACAGAACTTAAAAAACAAATTTTATATTTTTAAGCTTCGTTTAATAAGACTAAAAACAATTTTAAAAATGACTTTCGAGTTTATGAAATTTATATCAAAAAGTTTTTCGAAAATTTTGAAACCAATAAAGTAAAAGCTAAAGTTAATGAACATTTTTGGAGAATTACGCTGAAGTCTACTGTAAAACAAAAACATAAAACCTGGAACGAAGTTAACTTTAAAAGAATGAATTACATTTTACTTCGGGATTATGACCAATAACTTTTGCATCATTATTGAAGGTAGTGTCTTGGATAACAAAAAAAAATTGAATGCCTGAAATCTTACGTCAAAATAGATTGAAAAAAAAAAACAAACAAGCAAGTAGAAACGTTCACCAAAAAACTGCACAAATGATCACCTTTTAAGTATTACGGATTGCTGATTAAATCGGGTCGGGTGATTTTCCGTTTTTTTATTTTAGGTAGTCAAAGCTGCCGGCAAGGGCAGTGAAAGGTGAGTTGTTGGATTATCGTTGACTATCTTGAGGGTAGCTGCCATTAATTTGTTACTGACAGTGTTCATTTCAGTTTTTGCATTTTCTTCCAGCTGATTAACTAAATGATTTGGTTCTAAGCGGACGAGAATGAACTCATGGCAGTGCTCGTATTCGTATGAAAAAAAACTTCATCTCAAACAATAAGTGTCAACAGATATTTATGAGAGCGCATTTTTCTTATCGTCAATGAGTCTTAGATTTCGCATTACAGTTTTTAGCGGAACTATGCCCTTTTCTGATTAGTCAGTTTTGCCTTGTTCAGCCCTTTTGTTGATAAAACTTGTGATTTTTAAACCAGCTTTTTTGTTGCTGTGAGTGTAAAAATTTTTGTTTTGTTTCAATTTCAGAAGTTCATTTTCAACGACGTTTTCAACAGGCTTTAAACTCATTTTAATTGCTGTATAGAGACAACAATCAAAACTTGGTAAATTGTATCACCGATTGGTGTTTAATTCTATGAAATGCTTTTACAGGATTTTTATATGGGGAGTTTCTATGGTATTGTCAATTTCGTCATGGTGGTTATTATGGTTTTGAAAAATTTGTCCATTGCAATATGCTGGTGTTAGATGATTCGGTATGGGATACTTTTGCGTGGGATTGCATGTCCTGTCACCAAAATTCCAGATGAAACTGCGTAACCGAATTTTCTTTGGCAGTTGATTCTCTATCACATTGAGGTCCCTATCTATTGCACTTAAGAAAAAAAAACAGCAGTGTTATAGAAAAGTTAAAATACGTTTTCGGAAATTTGAGCATGTCTGAAGCTAAAATGTAGCTGCAACTGAAATCGGAACTGCTAGCAGAAAAAGTCCGATTTTTATTTACAATTTACTTAATTTTTCAAAAAAGTTTTAGATTTCTGCAAATTGAATAAGGACGAGGTGAGATGAGTCCCCTCAAAATTTTTTTTATTGTTAGTGCGAATGATTTTGAATGCTATTAAACAAAATTATACAACAAAAAAAGAAACTCAATGAAGACAGAATGAAAGATTAAGAGATCAATAAATATTTGTAAGCTCTAATTTGATACTGACCTGGTTACCGTTGTCGGCCGGCAGTCGCATCTCGCGAGATGATTAGCAAACTACTCTTGGTTTTGTTAGTTGTAGTAAGCAGTTTTCAGTAGCTAAAACAAAAAAAAAACTTGTTTACGAAGTCGAAATTTTGTGCCCTTGGAAAGAAGTTCTGATTTAAACAGCATTTAAAACAATTCGATTCTGAAAATGTTCAAAGTCAAATTCAAGTACTGAAATCTGATGTTCAAAGTCAAATTCAAGTAATTTTTTGCAAAATTTCATAAATAATTAAAATTTATTAAATAATTAATGAAACAAAAACTCGAAAACTGTTTAGCCCACAAAAACAAATCAGCTCAGAATTGAAAAGGACTGAATGCTTCGACAGCACATTGAAGTTAACTTAAAAGTTTTTGAGAGAAAAAAAACGAAAAAAATTGAAACAATTTTCCTTTCTTTGTCCCCACCAAGCCTTGTATAGTACAAAAGCATTGATAGTACTTCAATTGAAATAAAAACCATTTTTTTATATTATTTTTTTCCTTCTTATACCCGTCACAAAAACGTATAGTACAAAAACGTCCCAATTTATTGTAATAAAACTGAATGACTTTCTTAATTCATTTTCTATTTGGAATGATTAAGTCAGCCGGCGTACGCGTGTTAATCATCCCAAAATAACGACATTAGCCGTTTTCAAATCCGTACAATTTTATATTAAAAACGATCAATTTCTTTGAGCTACGAACAACAATTTCTTTCAGATACCAGGTTAAAAAAATTTCAGTCAAAAAAGGGTAGTTTAAAATTTAAAAATTAACGAAATAAAAAAGCACACCAGGAAAATTTCGTCGCTTTTTTCGAAAGTCCAAACAATAACATTACAAACAGTCATGTAAAAGGACAAAACTGGAAAGTTACCACAGCCTTTTAACTAGTGTTAAATATATTTGTCGCAAAAAATCTTGAGACATCATCAATTTTGAGCTATTTTTTTTAACCCCAACAGCTAAATTACAGTGGAGTGCTATAAATTTGAGTAGTTTTGAAAATAAAAACGCTCCATCAGCTTTTTTCATTTCTATTTGGTATGATTTTGATTGCGCAAAAACTAGTCACGCTTAAATATTTCGCGCGTATGCTTTATCATCAGAGCTAAATTCCCAAAAGAGCAAACAAACTAGTGTACAGAATTGATTATATATATTTCGTTACTTTCTTCATAACAATTTCATTATGAATCAATCTTGGATTCATAACATTTCAAAACTATTTTCTGAAAATTTTATTAGTGAGTTTTGAAGTTTAGAAAAAAAACCAGCCACTAATGAAGAGTTGCTTATGCTTTCCAACTTTAATTTGACAATCTAGAAAAAATTTGCAGGTTTTTAAATTTTTTACATGAAAGTTTGACCTTTTGAAAATTTTTTCTTCAGTTTGGTTTTACAAGAAAGGGAAATTTTTTTTCAATTTGTAGATAATATAACCAGGTTAATGAAAAAACAAAAATACAAACATTGACCTTGAAGTTTTTTCTTTGATTTCAAGGAACAAATGAACGGTTTTTTTCTTCACGTTTTTGTCCTTTTGTCTGCAACTAATCAAGATATAAGATTGAAATTTTAACACAAGCTAGAATAATTTATTTTAAAGGCTCTTATTGAATCCAAAACTGAAAAATTTTATTTTGAAGGCGTAAATTAGCCGCCAGTAAAGCAAAAATGGTTTAAGAGGTGTTCTTGCTCTGAAACACCCTCAAAAAGAAAATAAGAAAATTTAATTTATGGGCTCAAATTGGTGCACGGGGGAGGTAATTATCTATTTTTGTCTCAAGGCGGTAGAAAAACGACAGACAAACATCTTAAGCTCACTTAATCTGGCGTCAAATAATGGTTAATTTTATGCAAAAAATTTTGCGCTGATGATATAAATAAACCAACAAAAGAACTATTCCAGCTGATGTTTTGGGAAAATGACATCTATTTCATGGACAAAAAAGAGAGACAGGATAACTGCTTATGAAAACTATACACAGGGTTCTCATAAGCAGTTATCCTGTATCTATTTTTGTCTAAATTTCTAGTATACACGCCCAAGACCTTTTAATATCAATTCGTCAAAACAGATACGACCATTTTTTCCAACACCAAACCAAGTTAATCTTTCAAATTTTTTGTCTGTCGTATTTCCGGGGCCTAGAGATTGAAAAAGATCTTCAGTGTCCCTAGAAAAAAATTTAAGCCCACTTTTTAAACTCGTTGTGTTGTTTTTGAATGTTTCCAAAGCAAGAACACCTCTGAAAATATTAATAAGTTACTGGCTATTTTACAACTTCAAAATAAATTTCAGTCCTTTATTTTTAATGGATGCAGAGAACAGGATAATAGCCTGCGGGGGAAATGTGTTCATTTAATAGTTGAAAGCAAAGAAAAATTTGCTTTTTTAATGTCCCGTGACTGTAGAAAGCGTGTCAAAAATTGAGTGAAAGTTGAGGACAGTGTTGAAGTTGGTGGGGGCAATTGGTTACATCGTTGCTTGGGAGATAAGAGCAGGGGTGGAGAGAGTTTTCTAGAGATATGGGCCAATTTTTTATTTTAAAAAAAAAGTTAGCGCTATTCAACTGCTCCTCAAAATTCAGGCTTCCCCTAAATTTGTTCGAAGCAGTTTTTGGATAAGAATTTCGCAACTAGATGAAATAATTAAACGTATGGCAATGTTTTTCACAATTAACTACTGTTTTAAGTAAAACGGTACATAATACATCTACTTTTACATTATTAGGACCAATTAAGTCGCTTCAATAAAACTTGGTATGATTTTCACTCCGGACCAATTAATGTGCGGCATACGCAATACATTAGTAGAAAAATGGAATACGTGATCGCATGTTATACCAAACTGATTGATCCCTTTTACTTTGAAAGTATACCAAATAGTGTGGAACAAAGTTTTGAAATTGGTGTGACAAAAAAGAACAACAACGAGGATATGAATTTCAATCATTTCTTCAAGTGGGTTAAAAAAATTGGCACTTTTTTCGCCATGTCGCCGAGAGTTCTAATCACTTAAATTTTGGATCCGTCTCTTTACATAGTCTGCATGAAATTTGGTTGAATTAAGATACTGAAAAACATCTGATGTACAACAATTATAAAATGCGGGGGTATAACGGAAAAATGAAAAAAAAAATTGGTTTTTAGCACTAAATGGCTCAAAAAAGAACGAAATCAAACAATTAAGTTAAGAAAATTCAATAAGTTAACACGGAAATTGTTTCACATTTTTTGCTTTTCGCGTTCAATTTAACTTCTATTTTGATGGGCCGAAAAATAACACCTCTTTTCAGTTTCCTCTCGGAAGATTGATTTGAGCTATCTGGTATGATATTGACTAGCAGACAAAATCGGGAAAAACTGCATCTAACAATTCTTTTGAAGTATTCCGACAAATGAATTGCATTTTGATGAAATGAAAATATGACTTGAGACACAAGTTCCAGAATCACCATGTTCGTAGAAAAAACTACAAAAAAAATACATTTTATTTCTTAAATAAAGCGTCCTTTCTTTTGCGTGGTGTGATTATGGAACTATACAAACGCGTAGAAATTTAGTGTGAGTTAGGCATTAAAAACTACAACTGTCTTCAAACAATAAGCAAACAAAAAAACGAAGAAAAAAAATTTTATGTTTGAAAACTGTTATAACCAAGAAAAAAGCGTTCAATTAAGCTTAAAAAAACAGTTTTTTAGCCTGAATGGCCAGTGTTTGCATATAACGACTGTTACTCGATCGCTTTACTAGTTCGAAATCGAAAAGTTTTAAGTCGGTTGTTCTCCGGTTTTTGAATTTTTTTTTACTTCAGTCGAATCACTACTGAAAAAGCTTTTTATGTATATCACTCGACTCATTACAATGATTATTTGTGGTACTTGATTTTGCGTGGAAAACAAAAAAGGAAAAGAAACAAGAAAAAAAACTAAAACACACCCGAATACAAAGCTCGTCCACATTTATCAAATGTTCGGAACAATCAGCATTCAGGCAAATAATATTATTTAACTATTACTCAGCCTTTTAGCGGGCTGTGTCTCCCGATGGGATGGTTTTGAACAGTGTAGATTTATCATGTTGTTGGAGAAGCCTTGCGGTTTTTTCGTTTAAAAAAGACATTGGGCTGCCCGAATCGGCAATAGCGAACAATTGTTCGGAATTGGTTTTTAGTTTCACAATATGTCCGTTTAGATCATCTTCAACTAATGTTCTTGTATTCTTAATTTCAAATGATTCCTCGACTGCCATCACCGAAAAATTGTCTATTTGATAATTATCCCAACCATTGCTGGAAGAAAATTCTGCAAACGCCACTGGGTCGTTTTCTGTTTCCAAGCTTTCGGTGTCAAGCTCCTCCTGTTGGTCGACTTGGGTATCTTCTAGATAGTTGACTTGTGTTGATCGGCATATTTTGGCAAAGTACCCCCGTTTGGCGCATTTTGCTCAAATTTTATCTTTAGCGGGGCAGATCTGTAAATGATTTTGGTTATATTGGTTGCCGCATTTATAGCACTGTTTTTGGTTTCCTGTGTTTGTAGCTCTTGGTTGTCCTCGGTTATTTTGTGATCCTCGTTGAAACGGTCTGCCTCGGGCGCCTCGCCCTCTTTGTGTGTTTTGACTGTTAGAGTAGTTCGCGCGCCCTCGGGTGTTTATGTAATTGACCGGTTCTTGCTTTGTCGTTATTTGATGTCCGCTAAAAGGGTTGGTTTTCATAGTTCTACTATGTTCGATACCTTTTTCTCGGCGAATTCATATGCATCTTGTGGAGTTCTGGTTTGTGCTAATAGTTCCTCGGCTATTTTGTCGTTGTTCATGTGTGCGGTGAACATGTCGCGAACCCATTCTTCCTTGCGGTCTCCACAATCTGCCCGCGATGCTAATTCCACGATTTCCGAATGAAATCGTTCTAAACTCTCATTTTTTTTCTGTTTTCGACAAATAAAATTGTATCTTTCAAAAGCGATGATTCGAGTTGTGATAAAAATATCTTCGAGGGTTGTCATCATTTCTTGAGTAGAAACGGTGTGTAGCTCCAGATTAGGCCGTTTCTGTTGTAATTGTGTTTGTCCTTCCGCTCCTAAACATAAGAATATGTAGCTGCGTACTTTCGCATCTGCTTCGTCCCATCTGAATGAGTTACAAAGTACTCCCTTTTCCCTCGCTTTGATTACATGGTTTTCCGAACCTACTCTTTTCTCTTGATTTCTGACTTCTCTGTTCTTTCTTTGTGCTTCAGTTTCTCCTGTGATTTCAAGTTCGAACACCGGCTCTGCCGGTTCGACTAATGTTGGTCGGGCTCTTAATAGATTTCGTACTTCTATGCCATCTTTCGCGAATATTGCCATTTCCATTATCGCCGCCCACTTAGACCACTCTAGTGGTGGTTCGGTCGATGCCTTCTCCCAAAAGGGGTTTATGTTGAGTGGGTTTTTGGAATATCCTGCTGGCTGCGCCATGTCATACCTCAATGTATGAACGTTTGATTCCAGAATCCGAATGGATCGACAAACAGATAAGCTAACGCTGAGCGAGATAAAACGACCAATCTAAACCAATGTTTATTCTTGCTCTGACCGTTTATGAGGTCTGTGTTTGAGATGTGATCTCTCAAGGTCGATTGACCGACTAAATGTATGTTTATGGCATGCAACATCATAAACATATACAACAACATAAATCATAAATGTCAATGTATATATATCTGAGTTTTGTCGGTCCATGCCGGATGACAACAAAGTTCGTCCACATTTATCAAATATTCGAAACAATCAGCATTCAGGCAAATAATAATATTTAACTATTACTCAGCCTACAGCACTTGGGTGGGCGCTGATTAAGCAGAAAACAAACTTGCTGTCAAAATTGTGCAAATAACAAAACTGCTCAGGTTGAAGCGATTTTGCATCGCTCCAACCTGAAGCACCCACGCATAAATTTTAGCACCACATACTGTAAAGACGCTATTAAGAATGAATCATTCGAGCTAAGAAAAAATCAACGAGAAATTATACAAAAACGGATCTTTTTAATTTACAAATTATAGGAATAAATCAATATGACTTTCAATTTTAGCTTCAAAAGCCTTGAATTTGAATAAATTTTATACTCTGCAATTTATATTGAGGTATTTACTCCGAAATAAGTTTATACAAAGCAAAATTCATAAGCGCAAAAGCTCATTTGCTAAACATACATCAATCATAAAAAAATGTTTGGTTGAAACTTGAAAAAAACACTTGCCTGGATTGTACATATTTCGCTTCCGCTCAGCCAAAGATAAAAAAAATTGATATTTAATATCTGCGCAGAAAGACCAAATTTTGACAGCTCTCATACTTAACTCAAATTGTGAGTATCAAGGAGTTTTTTTTATATTTATTGCATCAAAGAAAGCTAATTTTCCTTTTCATCAATAATTTTCACAATTAATCAATAATACAAGAATTGATGATTTTTTGAATATAAAAAACTGACTTGTGTTTTTGATCGGATCGAGCACACTTTGGATTTTGTGATTATTTTTCTTACGATTTATGACTTTAGCTTCAAATGCTCGTATAATATTCAAATTGTCTCCTAGGCAAGCCTCAAAACGTTGACGGTCCAGCTGCCTTTATTGGACGGTGCATTTTCAAATGACGTTGACCCTTACCATAAAACCAAATTACCACCATAAAAATAAGTCAACTATAAATCAAATCGAACTTAATTTAACGAGTTATTGGTCGCTAAAACCATCTTTGCGAAAAGAAAAATTATGGTGAAATGCATGCAAGTGCAGCTTAGTTAGTTAACCAATAATTCTAGATTTTTTAAGCTTAAACACAGAAAAAATGGGTATCACTAATCAAAATAGAACAGGTGAGACTGTACCCTTTAGCTGAAGAGTTTGGCAATTTCTGGGAGGAAGGGGGACCACCCCGTACCAATTAAGTTCGAACAGAATAAAACTTAAATGTTGAGTTTCGAAGTATATCATTATCCAAGCCTTATGATACAATTAAAGATCTATAATGGTTTTTATGCTATAACGCTCTCTTACCTTTAAAAAAACTTCTAAATTGTTGTAATGACAGATAAAAACCAAATACAGCTCGTTTTTGTGTAATGTGGCTCCGACCTCAAATTTCAAAGTAAAATAACTTTCTTTGTATTCTCAATCAACGTACGAGGAGAGACGATTTGTTTCCTATTCAATCCATAATGGATGGAAATCAGTTGTAGGATTTGGTTACAAAAAGTATTCAACTGTTTGTTGATTTTGGACGCTTCCAAACATCGGCTTCGTTGGTATAGTGATGTGAACAAACAGTTAAAAAGCTTGAAAGGTTTTTCCGAATAATCCTACGACTTAAATTATAAAGAATAAAAGGAATGAAGGCACCTGTCTTACTAGCTAACAATTTGATTGATTCTAAATTGAGCTGAAAAATATGAAGGCAGTCAGAATCATAAAAGCAAAAAGCAAAGGACAGCTGAAATAAAGCGGCGTAATTTTCAAAATGGGAGCTGGCTGGATTCAGTTCAGATTTTCAAACTGATGGATTTATTACTTGACATCTTATCCGATTGGACTATATAATCTTAGATCAAACAACAAGAGCCGAAATGGAACAAAAAAGCGTCACTTGGAAACAATTTTTAATCTGATTTTGAGAAATAAAACTGACGATGTCCTCATTAAAGGGTTCAAAAAAAAACAAATCAGGAAAACAGTAACCGCTTACTCTGGTAACTGCCAGATTGTCCGCCCATATTTTGCTTGCAAAAATCTGGGGGGAAATATGCGCTTGAATTGATGAAGTCACGCGAAAATGTTTTTGTTTCAAAAAAGTGAACGAACGATTATAGTGCTGACTTAAATTATCCGGACAAAACTCATAAAAGTTGAACTTGAAAACACGTTTTTCATAAATTGTGTTGACTTTAGACTAAAAATGGTGCGGACAAAACTTGCTTAGAATTTTCAAAAAATTATTATAATGCAACAATTACGAGGCAAAACTGTGCACTGGATAGGCGCACAATTTTGCGTCTGTATGTTCCTGGATTCCATAGACAAACCTTTAAACGTGTTCCAAAATGAAAGTGGATTCCACCTACAAAGCTTCCGTGAGTTCCGCGTACAAATACCTGTAACGTAAATTTTATCGGCACTTGTTGTGCCGCGGATTCCGCAACAAAAGAATATAGCAAAATATTCCGCAACTGTAAGTGGATTCCACAATGCATGTGTAATCTGCAAATGTAAGTAGAATCCGCAAAATTTGTCAGCGGAATCCGCAAATGTCAGCAGATTCCGCAAACTGTAAGTGGATTCAGAAATTTGTCTATTACTGAACTTGCATATGAACAATTGAAAGCTAGAGGTGGAATTCTTATCTATAGCAATGCGGAATTTAAAGGAAAGGACTTAACCATTGTCAGCGGAATCTCCAATTAATTGTTAACTAAATCGGTGGATGTCAGCTTTTAGTACTTTGGAAACACAACACCGAATAAGTTCAATTTTTGGAGTCATTAGGCTGAGAATGTATGGAAATACAACACTCAGCATATCGCCAATTTAGGTCAGTATTTGGGATTGCGTCAATTCCAAATACTGATTTTGGAAGCATAACGCCAAATAATTTCAATATTTGTAGTTATTGGGTTGAGGTTGTTTGGAAACCTAACACACAGCAAATCGCCAATTTAGATTTGAGAATGCGTCAATCCCAAATACTGATTTTGGAAAGCTTAACGCCGAATAAATTAAATATTTGTAGTCCATGGCTTGAGAGTGTTTGCAAACACAACGCACAGCATATCGCTGAGATAGGTCAGTATTTGGGATTGCATCAGTATTTAGGATCGAAGTTCAGATCGAAGTAGGTCAGTATTTGGGATCGGTAGGTCAGTATTTGGGATCGAAGTTCAGTAGGTCAGTATTTGGGATCGAAGTTGAGATCGAAGTTGACAGGATTTGAGATCGAAGTTGGGTTGACAGGAATTGAGACCAAACATTTCAACTGGTAGTTGATCAATGTAGTGATAGTAAACGAGATTCAATTTTTCTGTTGACCAGTAATTAAAAGATATAATTTTAAACGCTATACTACACATATACAAATATGTAAACGGAATCCGCAAACAAAATGGGGATTCCACTTACACCTTGCGGATTCCGCTTGCGATTGCGGAGTCTGCAACAGCTCATTTTAACTATACAAATGTCCTATTATTTGTTTGTGGATTCCACAAACTGTTCTGGATTCCGCAAGTACGATTGCGGGTTCCTCAAAATCGCCTATTCTCGGAGCGATTTTGAGCGGTAGTGTTTTAGGTATTGTTTGTGGAATCCAAAACAGCGAAGAAGATCAAAGAAAAGTAGCAAAGTTGCGGATTCCGCGACAAATCTGATTTTGGCCTGTTGCGGAATCAGCTTACAATGCACAGTTTGGCCTTGTAATGACTTTTTTTGCGATGTCCGGGCCCAAAACTTTACTCAAAAATCGATCATTATAGACTTTTTAGTCAATTAAAAATTACACCAAAACTACGAAGTCAAATACTGTCAAAATTATATCAAAATAGGCTTCTTCTCGGCCGAACAAAGTTCAAGAAGGGAGGATATATTCTCCATAAAGTTGCGCGAAACGTTTATGAAAATGATTTTAAATATTTTTTTTATAGTAAAACTGACTTTTTTGAGAGTATTTTCTTCTTAAACTTTGGTGGGCCACATTAGAGGCTCATTTTGATATTAATTGACAGTAATTTATTTCGTAGTTTTGGTGTAATTTTCATATGAGTAAAAATTCTATAATGATATCCGTTCTTAGGGCAAAACTTAGGCCGAAATTTTGCAAAACAAATTGCACCATACTAATTCTGCTAATGTTTTAAGCAAGTGTTATCCTTATCATTTTTTGTCTAATTTCAACCCAATTTTAAAAATTGCTTTTTCAATTTCAAACTTTAATGCGTTTAGTCCGGTTAATTTAAAGTTAAGGCCAAACTATGGCTATATCCATGACTTTGAGCAGTTTAATCGGTCAAAAACTACAGTATTTTAGGTAAATAAGCTTTTTGGAAACAGTTCTTACCTACAGAATTCACAATAAGATGAAACTCGACGTCAGAATGGTTAGTTTTAGGTTAATTATTTTAGTTCCGATTCGTAGACCGAAACTATAAATCAGGACTACAGTTTCTTTGAGTTTTTTATTCGCTTTCTCTGTATCTGATTATATTTCAGTCTTGAAAGTTCTAGAATACTCGTAAACCGCATAAGCAGTTTAATCTGTGAACTGAAAAATCGTCTTTAACAAACTTAACAACCTGGCTGTCTGCTCACATATGCAAAAACAACAGATTAAAGATCTGAAAAATTCAGAGGAATTGAAATTAAAGACCGGCGGATTACTTCCGAGTGTCCGAATTGACAGCTTAAAGGATAACTGCTCAAAGGTATGACTGGTATGGCTGATGCAGAAGGTAACGGCAAAAAAGATCCATGATGGTTTAGCGCAGTTACAGTAAGCCAGAAGACATTGAAAAATAATAAACGGGAAAAAAATATTGAAACATCTGAATCATCAAAAAAACATTACGTTCGAATTTTGATGTCGAACTTAGTAACTATTTCAATCAGTGTTATCCATCGTTAATGATTCTTATACCTAATAACAGTTTTCCGTTCAGAAATTCAAACTTACGAGGGTGCCACGACAACTCGCAACAAAAGACCACTCGCAAAACAAAACAACTCGCAAAATCTCTCAAAAGACAACTAGCAAAAAGAGACATTTCATATAAAACTCGGAAGGAAATTTAACTTCCCTTCAATCTAAATCTGACACAAAAAAGCAGTAAGACATCAAAGACTTTGAGGCATCGAAATTTCTTTGGTATAAAGTGTTTTTCAGATCAAATTATATAAGAGCTTCCAGCTGCGAAATTAGGTCATTGTTTTGAAAGTTTTCAACAGTATCTGATATCCTTTGTGGCAATTGTTCATATTGAGGATATTTATAGGGCTTTTCTCCAGACTTGAACCGAGTCAGACGATTTTCCGTTTAACTTTGCTCCTTCCTTATTTTTGATACAGTGGGGTGAACATAACCCATTCCTAGTTGAAAAACGCTATGCCATCCTTCGACAGAAAGGTTGATTTTTTATTTCCATTCCATTGCTGAACTCGTTCCATGTAGCTGGTTTGAAATCTGGATCTTCATATTCCACGTACATATTTCCCCACCCAAATTTTTCAAAATAATCGAGTTATGAATAGAACTGACCATTTTCAGTTGTTGTTGCGTAGAGAGCTTCTAGTGCCAACTTCAAGTCGCATTCAGGAATGAGAGCCAGCGCAATAAACTTTCTTTTTTAAGTCTTTGTTTTTTGTGTATTCAACCGCCAGTCCTAATTATTGTAATCTTTGCCAATTGGCCTGCGCAAAATGAACAAAGCACCCTTTTATGGACGCTGTGCGAAATTTCGGTTTGAATTGCTGCTTTTTCGAAATCAATAATAATTTCTGTTAGCTTTATTAAAGGGTTAAGTTCACGTAACACTAGAAACGCTAGTTGACATTGCTGTTGAATTTTTTGTTGCAACATAGAGTAAAGCATTGGGCTGGAGCAGCTATTTATAACAGCATGTACAGTTTGTGTAACGCTCGAGAATGCCCAAGTTTGCCTCAGTGGTGAACACAAGAAGTCGGTCGGAACCACCCGGCCCCGATTCATGAGTCAAGAAATTCTCCCCCTTTAGAGTAGTTTGAATTTTTATTGGAATTATTGTCCCCCACCTTCTTTGGCACAACTCTTAAGTCCCTTTCTAGTTGAATCGCTCTGGCAACCGAGGTAATTTGGGCATGTTTGCTGCGCATTCCTCAAAAACGGTGATCGTTACATTTTGATAAATAGATCGAGGATATTCTTGCTTGTTTTCCGCGCTATCTTTTATTTTTTGTATGACACTAAAACATTTTGGGAAAATTTTAACTTTGCCCACCAGAAGTAGTGCAAGTAATGAGGACTATTTTTTTTATAAATTATTTGTCAAAGGTTGTTTTGTTTACATCCCCACAAGATTTAACGGCTTTACATATTTAACGGTCATGCTTTTTTACCTTGTAAACCGAATTTCTTGAAATTATAAATTGAAAGACACTTTTCAACTTCCCGTTCATGAGCCAACACTGAATGTAAATGGTCCATTTTTCTCCACAAATAAATCATCACGTGTAAATACTTGTGATTTGCAAGGTCTTTAAGAATCTCCAGGAGTGCGAGTTGTCTTTTGTTGCGAGTTGTCGTGTTACGGCTTACGAGCATGTTTCAACAACAAGAACACGTATTTGATTGACAGTTTTACTGACCAATCAACAACACGAAAACCTCCTCCAGACATTTGCATTTTGTTGGTTGACGTTCAGTCAAATCTTCAAAACAGTTTCCAGCAATTGCACAGAAAAGCAACAATATAACTTTTAGGATTGGTCGATCTCTTTATCGTAAGTTTGCTCTTGGCTTCTTTTAGCAGTACTCATTATAATAATTTACTCATTAGCAGTACTCATTATAAAAATCTCTCTTAAGTTAAAGCTGAGCTGTGAGAATGATTTGACAATAAGGTATGATTTTATCTCATTAAGAGTGGAAGCTTCGGCTGCGCAATCGTAACAGTGCGGCAAACTTCGAGCTCGTTTTTTTGCCAGTTCTTGCTGTTTTTTTACAATGCATCTTCGATCTGGATGGAAATTCAACTTATTTCGTAATTGGCTCTGAGGGAATTTTTTTTGCAGCCAAAATTTGTCAATGAAAAGTGTCAGTGAACGCAAAAAACATCAATGACAGACTTGTTTAATGAAAAAAGTAAGTTTTCGAAGAAAAATTAGCCTTAAATTTTTTGAAATTTGAGAACAAACTTTTTTGATTAAGTTCAACCCAATTTGAGAAAACTCGATTGATAGAAAAAAAATTCAGATGGAAATAAAATCCATATATATTTCATTTTGGAATCAGGAACATTCACTTTTTGAAAATTTCCGTCGAATATCATTGAGCATGAACATCATAACTGAGTTTTCTATCAGAAACAAAATCAACGCGACCGATAATTGTCTTAACTACGTTTATTTGCACTCAAGAAGAGTAGAATCAGAGATTTATACACAAAATGTTACTTCAAATTCAATATGACTGTCGGTCAGAATTGACTATATTATGCGGATATTGGCACGAATTGATACCATTCAAAACTAGATACAAAATGGCGTTTCGAAAACTCTTTCAAATTCTCATCAATCTTTAAGCATTATTTTCATCAAAAGAAAACTAAATTTTTGCCTATTTTCAACAAAACAAAACGAAGACCTTTTATAGCTAATTATTTTATAAGCAAAAATGAAACCAATAATAGAAAACAATAGAAGTAATGTTTGAAATACTCGTGCAAGTTCTTCCTAAAATAAAACCTAACGCGAGTAGGTTTTTTTTTTGCGAACTCTCCGACAGGGGCCGAAGTGAGATTCGAATCAACGACCGCCGACTTAAAAGACGTGCGCCATACCCACTCGGCCAACACCATTCAAGACAAAATTCTTCCTCTTTTTCAGTGGTCGGAACAAAAAAAAACAGGCAGAAGTTGACATGAAAACGCAAAAATGAGTCTGAAAAGTTCAGCTTTAAAAAGAAAAGCCAACTCCGAGATTCAACTCCCAAATTTCCAGTATGAGTCATCGCTTAGAATTTTGAATTAAGATCTTTTGACATTTTGAAGCCGCGGTCAATTGCAAACTGATACAAATCGGCAATAGAAGTCTCGGTAACAATTCATCAAGAACGAACAATTCATCTCTTTTAATTTTCAAGTTTTCTTGCATTGAAAGCAACAGTTATTATTCTATTTAGTCTTTTCGGACTAATTGAGTGTCGGGAGGTTCATCAGAATGTTCTGTCCTTTCGGCAGGTAAGACACATTGCGTTGCTTGGCCAAGTTGTTCGCAATCTCCTCTGCTGCTTCTATCTTTCTCAGCTCGATCAGTCCTTCACCTGCCTCGTTCAGCGCCTTCGCCAACAAGTCTGCACCTTTAGAGTCCCCCTCAGCCGCTATGATTCGGGCCAACTTCACTTGCTCCTCCTAAAACGAAATAAAATAGTTTTAACTCATGCACTTTAGCTATAAACATGAAAAATATTCATTTCAATTTCAACTAGCGTGTAACGCACCTCCAGTGCTTCGACTTTTTTGACAACTCATAAAAAACCGTGGAAATTTAAAAAAAAACTCAGCATCCTTTCAGTGTACTCTGACAGCACCAAATTACAGGGTTGGTAATTTCAAATTTTGAAAAAAAAATCTATTCAAGTTTTTTCAATTCAAATTTATTAAAAAAATCATTAAGTTTTTTATCTAAGTTCTTTGAAAAACTTTGAAAAATTAAGAAACATCACATCTCGGAATCTCAAACTAATTGAGCCGTCGCATTTGGACGCAAGACTTGCAACTCCTGAGAGAGCTCTTACACTAACCAACTACAGCGTTGCGAATTTCAAATTTTGGGAAATTTAAATCAAGTTTCCCAAAATTTGAAATTCCCAACGCTGTAGTTGGTTAGTGTAAGAGCAACCCCTGAGACTACCCTGATATCCCCCAACTACAGCGTTGCGAATTTCAAATTTTCAGAAATTATTAACAATTAAATTTTCTAGAAACTTTTGAAAAATCTCGAAAATTGCCGTATCTCGTAACCTAAAAGAATTGCTGATTGATAAATGGAGGCCGAAATCGCAACATCCGGGGAAAGCCTGACAGCATCTCAATATTGGGTTGGATCTTTCAAAACTGGTGAAGTAAACACTGATTTCAAATAGGAAAATCGAAAAAAAATCTTAAACATTGCAATATACGATATAGCTTAAACGTGAAAAAATTCTTTTGTTAAACATGCAAAAATAATAGGTTGAAAAAGCTTAAACACGGGAAGATAGTGAAGCCCGCAACTAAATATATAATAGATAAAAGATAGATAATAGATGAAAGTTAAAAAAAAAATAGGCGACAGGTAGACAGACAATCAAATTAATTTAAAAGGCAGGTATACAGACAGACAGACTTAATTTGGCCTCGAAAAAAATACTGAAAAATTAATGACCTTGCGAAAAACTAGTAGATCCAGAACTGAATTTTAATAGTCTGATTCATGTAAATATATAAGGCATGACCGCAATATCTTTACAAAAATTTCCATAATATAGGAACAATATAGTCTCTTTAATGTCTCTCAGTTTTTTAGAGATATAGGTCAGCACCCTACACTTGCACACTTGGACCAAGCAAATAATCAATACTAAATAACTGGAGCCATCCAACCACAAAACTCTTCTAATGCAATGTTACTGGCCATAGCAGGACATTTTACAGCATAAAAAGCATACAATCTCACGCCAACATTTTTCAGTTCAGCTCTAGTAGTGTTTTTCGTTATTTTTAAGCAGGTTGCGAAAATCAATTCCATTTAAAAATCAAATCAACAGAATTTTTTAGAACTTGTTTTTAGAACTTTCAAAAACGTGTTAAAAATTCTCAAAACTATTGTAGCAAAATCATAACTCTACATTTACACTGACCTTCTGAACCAAAAACTTGGCTCTTTCTGCTTCTTGTTGAGCTACCTGTTTGGCCTCAACTGCCTCTGTGAACTCTCGGCCAAAGTTCAAGTGAGTGAGAGAAATGTCGTCCAACACAATTCCGAAAGAAGCTGCCCTCTCTGAAAGTGTCTCACGAACTGTCTTTGAGACGAGTTCACGCTGAGTGATCAGCTCGGAAGCGTCGTACTGAGCCTAAAACCAAAACAACAACAATTCAATGGAAAGTACAAGACTAAACATAGCCAACTTACAGTTGGAAAAGAGTAATGAAATCAAGAAAACTGAAAAAAAACTTGGTTCATCAAAAATCGTCAACTTCTCAATTTCGAAGAAAAAAATAGATGACATTGAAGCTCTTTCAATTTGTAGAAGAACTTATAATGAACGCTATTTTGTAAAATTAACCCAATTTGAGAAAACTGGATCAATAGATAAAACTTTTATTTCGCTGGGAAATCTGATAATTAATTTCAATTTTCGAAATTAGAAGTCGATCACGTTTTTCGTAACCTTTACACTTTCGCTGTTCGATATTGGAGTTTGCCTTCCTTTTAAAACAGGCAATCCAACAAACTTAAAAAGAAATCACGTGTCAAACGAAAAAGTAAAGACTTTTCCTGAAAAAAAAACATCGCGACCTATATAAGAACTTCAGTAAGCGAAATTCTAACTACAAGTTCTTTCAATTAGAAATCAATTTCAGATTTGGCAGTGTAGTTTTCAACAACAAAAAAATTTAAAAAAAAAACAATTAAAATTTGAAAAATGAAAATTTTTTCATTTGACTGAACACTCAATTTAGCGGGGTAGTTATTAATGAAAGTCAAAAAGTTTTCAAAAAACAGTTCCGAAAAAAATATTGATTTTCCCAAGGTTATAGCTTTTTTCTACATAAATAACAGCGCATCTGCTTATGCAATGAACAAGGCCCAAATGCGTTACTTCAAATAAACCATTAAAATTAAAGTCAGAATACTTTTTGAGAACAGTCAAAAAGTTTCCAAAAAACGGTCAAAAGCCAAACTTCTTCTTTAAAAACTATGATGTAGCCGTTCACGCAAAGGATTCCCACAACGGAGTTTCTCGAATGAAGCCTTTACCTTAGAATTGCCGGGGTCGTTTTCGAGAAAAACCATTGTTTCCAAAAACACGGTCAGGTCAGAACACAGACAAATGGAAAAAGAGTCATGAACGCAAGAATTTTTTTAAAAAAAAATATTGGCTTGAAGCACGTTGAGTTTCAAGAACAGGTTATGATTGACAATTTATGATATAATTGACCCAACTTGAGAAAACTAGATCAATAGATAAACTTTTTATTCCGCTGGGAAATCAGAAAATTTAAATCCACTATCGAAACTAGAAGTCGATCACGTTTTTCGTGACCTTTTCACTTTTGCTGTTCAATAGTGGAGGTTGGCTTCCTTCCAACAAAGTAATTCAAACTACCGCGAAAAACCAAACTTGAGCATGATTAAATTTTAAGACTTTCCTGAAAAAAAATCACCAATACCTATATAGGAGCATTCATTACCTTCATGACTCTTTACAAAACAAGGGGAATGTGCAAGTACACAAGGAATATGGTTGAAGCTCAACTTACTACTACGGATTTTAGAACTTCAGTTGTAATCGAAGGAAAAACTTTCTCGGCGTACTCTTTCCCAATATCCCTGTAAATAGAGGGTAGAGCTTCTGGAACTGGTCGGTAGAGGATTCGAAGAGTGATGTTCACGTTTTGCAAATCTAAATATTCCAATATTAAAATAACTTTTATTGAAGACCTTTTTGTTCAAAATTGGCTCATCTATCTAACCTTTACTTCCAGTTACTACTGTAACATTGCGGGGTGTTGATCGGACGGAAAAAATTACTGGTGTCTGGATCAATGGAATAAGAAAATGCGTCCCTTCTCCTGTGACATTTTGTTTGATTCCAGAAAACCGATCAAAAATTACAGCACGATGACCACCATCCACTAGAAGAAAGAAGAATGAATTATAAACATCCGAAGCTTATGAACTCAAAACATGAATTATAAACATAACAATTATGACAGTTTAATTACCGTTATAGAGAACAGAATTAGCTGCAGCTCCTCCGAGCATCAACGCTCCTCCAAGGAAACCCAAGTTTCGAAACAGAGCAGCCATTTACAAAACAATTTACTGAAAATAAAATAATCAAAACAAAAAAAAAACTTTCATTGCCATTTATAAGTCAAATTATTTATAATAATAATAATTTTCAAATTTATTAAAAAAGGTCAAAAGTATCATAGTAACCGAGATTACAGCCAGGAGTCCCTTCATCACGTATTCCAGTCAAAATCCTTGGAATTTTCTAGATATGGAAGTGATAATGATAAAAGAAGATGACAAGTGTTTAAGTCCTTTTCAATTAAAATCGATACGGTTTACGTTTTTTCAATAAGAACACGCAACTCGACACGAGAAAATATAATATACAAGTGTTACAAATAAAAAATTTCGTCGAAAGCTATTTTGTCATTTATTGTTCCGAGTACGCAAGCGGCGTTCGCAATCTGTATTGCCAGGGAGCTTCTCTGTTTTAAAAAGCTGCCTGCTCTGGGTTCCTCAGTGCATATGCTTAGGTTCTTACAAAGCTTGCTCAATAAAATTTCTGTGCTGGGGCCGGCCGCGCCCTGAATTCCAAAAGCTAGCGGTTGAAAACGATATCCATCATTTACAAGATCTTTATACTTGTCAATTTTTCGCGGCAGCCGTACCAGGGTTACAAACAGACCCGGCATTAATCCTACAAGGAGCTAAGGAGTCTACTACCGTTACATCCCACAAGAGCTGCTTACCAACAGCCCATGGAACGAGCGTCAAACCGTCTGGTCGCTTCTGATCGGTCCTGAAGAGGTGTCGTGGTTCTAAAACAGACGGAATGTGAGCAGAAGATAAACTCTGCTTTATAAGGGCATTCAGGTTTGAATGCCTAGAGAATCTCCCTGCACTTTTGAGGCAAGGAAGACCATGCCAACCATCCTCGGTAACGTCTTTTCCGCACACGCATTTATGCCGTTCGCATATTTTTGAGCCTAATCGAAGTCCTATCGCAATTCTGAGTTGTTGGTTCGACAATTTTAACTTTAAATTTTTGCACAGGATGACGTTCAACCATTGGGAGCCACATCTATCTTGGAACGCGTTGAATCTTTTTACGTCCGTTGGTTCGAGTCGTAAAATCAAGTCTGCAATTTCGCTGTCAAAAATTGGCTCCGTCCATTTTTTTTGGATTTCATTTTCCGGAGCCATTTCAGTTTTTCCAAGTTCAAACCACCGTTTAAGCGCATCATCATAGGTTCCATCCACATGCTCGAAACCAAAGATTTCGCTCAAAGTGCCATTCGGCCAGATTGGCACAGCGCAACCTTCCGGCGAAGCACGAATTAGAAAAAAAAAGGAAAAAAGCCCCCAGAGACTAATATATGGTGAAAGACTGTATTAAACTATATTTTTAGCTACTCTGATGCCATAAAACTTTGAATTGACACCGGTATTACTTGATGTTTTAGAATATGAGTAGCCAGGAAGAGGAAAGGGTCAATCCATCTCCAATGGATTTAATATAGAACTGTCACCAAAAATATGTTAAAATAGGGTATTCGAGCCGTGTTTTTAATAGCAATCACGTAGTCTGAGGATCCGAGACTCAGCTATGTGGTTGTGTTCGCATGTAAACGAAAGCTGATCAAAAGTCTTTTGACTGATGGCCTTAAAATAGTAACTTTTTACTTAGCCCTAAACAGACCAGAAAATCAACTGGCAAGGTCGAGACGGTGAAAAACGAGTAGAATTAAGGTAACTGACGGCTGCCAGTCGTTAATAGGTACTTTTTCTACGCTCCGTCGCTGTGTAGTATTTGGGCGAATGTTACATAGACGTTTTTATGGCGCTCCTGGGTGGGCCTGTTAAAGGCACGAGACCATCATGATCAGCAAACGTTTCAGCGACGAACCCTCCGCTCCGGGCGTATGCCCGAGTTAGAGGCCTTAATGACCTTTATTGTACTAGGGGGAAGGTGCGTACCCTCCGCCTAGTACTATTTAGCTTTTTAACTTAGTTAAGACCGAAAATTCCAGGGGCCGGAGGGTTAGGTGGGAAATCTAGAGCCCGCTTGTCCCGAGATCCCAGGACCAAAAACAATTAAAGAGAAAACGTAAAACCAAAAAACAATAGAGTATAACCAAAAAAAAGCCAAAAAATAAGTTTACTTGAAAATAAAAAAAAATACAAAAAACAGTAAAAAATCCAAAAAGACCAAAAACAGTAAAAAACATAAAGTGACAGTTAATATATTATTTCCGGACGAGATGTGATCTGACTTTCCTGTTTTTTGTTGTGTCAGATTGATTTATATCAATTCTGATAGAAAGGTTGTGTGTTTTGGTGAAGGGTTGGGTACCCTCCCTTGAGTGTAATTTGAGTATTTGAGCACGTTAATGGTGATTTTGCCTGTGACCGGAGAGTAGAGTGGCAAGCTGACCGACGTGTTCCACACTCAACAGGGACATCAGTAACAACATCCACAACGACTGTTGGGTATCGTTGAAACAATTTTAGTATCGTTCGGGTACTATTTCATTAAAACTTAAGTGGTGGGGTGCACGATTGGCGCGGTCCGATTGTACCCTCCATCAATCACAAATTTCCGAATTAAGGGTCTTAATTCGGGTATTTTGGTGCAAAGGAGGGTATAGCAATACTCATTAATGACTACTAACAGGTTATTATCCTATTATATATTACCTATCTCCTATTTAGACCCAAGAAACACTCAAATTTTGTCGAAAATTACCGATTTTCGACCAAACTATAGACCCCCAAAATTTTGGATATCCGAGCTTTTCCGAACAGCAAAAAGCTTTTATACAGGGAGTTACTACGTAGTTCGGTCCCTCTAACTAAAGAAACCCCACGGAAAAAAACTTAGTAGAAGTTAGCGAAAACAAAAATTTTTTCGATCAAAATTTTGATAATTTTCCGAATTTTGTCAATTTGTTTTGGGGATCGAGTTTTTGAGTTTTCAGAGTTAGAGCAGTAACAATTTTTGCGTTAGGAGCGTGCTAGCATTACGTGCTCGGTTACTAGAGAAATTTTTGAGTAACCCTCCGATTAGCTCTGTCGATAGAGCTAACGACTTAAAGATTGGAAAAGGAAGGAATCGGAGGGTCCAAATTTGATAGTTATTGGCCAAATTTTTGTTTCCAAACCAATTTTGGTCCAATTTTTTGCATTGTTCCAGTGCCATACGGGACTACTACGCTCATTTCGATTATTTTTAGGCCTTTTGAATAAGAATTGCGCAAAAAGTCTCTCAGAACCTATATAGGTGGTGAAAAAAGGCCATTTTGACAAACGCGTTTTTGGCGATTTCTCGAAGACTAGCCAACCGATTGGGACAACTTTGGTACGATAAGTCGACGTCTTTACCCAATTTTCCGGACCACAACCGTTTTTGGGTTGATAATCTCGGAAAAGGAAATTTTTTTAGAATTTGTTGGTTCGGAGGGTCCAAATTTTGGGGAACCCTCCGAGCGGCAGAAAATTTTTATAAGATCACCTTTTTATCCTACTAGGAAGGTTGACTGTGTCAGCCAACCTGGTTTTAAGTCAGTTACACCGCATTCGGAAGCTTTATTGCGGTAAAATAACCCTTTTTCTTGATTTTTGGGGAACCCTCCGAAGTAACCCTCCGGAGTCAGCTAAGCTCCTTAGCAACCCTCCTTAGTGGACATTTTCCACGAGACCCTCCGAAGAAGTTAGAATAACCCCCACGGAGAATTCGGCTGGTGTTGACACCTCCTGAGACTAGTAGGAGACACTTACAAGTGATTTTCAAAGAATTTGAAATTTTGAAGGAACCCTCCGAAGTAACCCTCCGGAGCGTATTAAGCCCCTTATTGACCCTTTTTAGTAAGTTTAGGGGGACCCTCCGAAGTAACTTGGGTGATTAAGGTACCCGCCGAAGTAACCCTCCGAGGTAAGCTAAGTGTCCTAACAACCCTCCGGAGTGACCCTCTGGAGTGATTTAAGCTTCTTAGCAACACTCCTTATTGAAAATTTAGGGGTACTTCTGGGGCAATTTGAGCAACTAGATTATCCATTTAGAGTCGGGATAAAAGGTGAAATACCAACGGGCGTACATATTAAGATCTCAGGAGCCCATTTGACCCGGATATTCGTGATCAACTTTGGATTCTAGATCGGGTCTGTTAGAGGTACCCGAACAAAATTTTTTTTTTTGATTGTGAGTTTGGTTGTGTGGTTGCCTTGAGCTACTTGATAGGAAAGCTCGGGCAACCCGGGAACACATAAAAGAAGACCTCGGTGATTGTATTAAGCAAATACACACTCACTTGAGAAGAAAAGTTGTTCCCTGCTCTCGTGCACTTGGAGCGTTCCGTGTGTGGGGGAGATTTTTCATAGACTTTAGAAGTTTTTCGATCAGAGGTTGCCTTGAGCTACTTAGTAGGACAGCTTGGGCAATCGCAGGACACCTAAAAAAAGACCTCGGTGGGTGTATTAGGCAAATACACACTCACTTGAGAAGACTGTGTCCTGGGCTTCGTTCTTTTGGAGTGTTCCGATCGAGGTAAATCTTTTTCTTTAAGACTAAATTTTATTTATCTATTCCTGAATCATCACTGCTTTTTACAAAAGATTGTTTGAGTTTAACAAAGCAGTGACTTGATAAGAGTGTGGCCGTAAATTGATACTGACGAAAGGTCGCTGTCACCTGTAGGATATTCTTATCTGATTATCGATTTTTTTTGTGTTTTGATTATATCTTGTGTAAATTTTGTGGTACTGTTATACTACACAACGGGGTTGAGTTAGCATTATATCAATACTGAGTAGGCCCTGTGTAGAACTTTAGCTAAGTCACAAATATTATCATTGAGAAATCCAAGAGACGTTTTTGATACTTACGAGATCGAGTAGGCAGCGTTAAGTTATTTAACTTGAACTTGTTTGTGGTACGTGTGCATTGCCATTAATTTGTGCGAGTAGTACTGTTAATAACAAAAAGTGCAGCGTAGGGACTCGTTAGGATCGACTACTAAGATTCCCAGGCTGAGCAGGGGAAGCACGCGAAAACTTAAAACTAGGCGTAGCCAATCTCCGTTTAGCAGCGC